AAATTCCCTGTATCAAGATCCCAAGATGTTACTGTGTCTGACAGGTATTATAAAAATGATTTAGCGAGCAGACAATAATGAAATAGATGTTTGTGCAACATATGGGTGTCTTTATTCTGGAATCGTTTCGCCAGCCAGTGGCTGGCCCCATTGATGTGCTTTTAAAGACACTGAGGGACTGATTGCCTCAGACTCCTCTTTTTCCGCCCTTCTTCCTTGTAATGTACTAATGAAGCCAATGACTGACGAAACGTTTCCACAATAAAGATTCCAAAATGTTTGCTTTCTAAACCATTTATATAATAAGGTTTCCTGGCAAGCCTCTGCAACCAAAGATTCGTGAACAGAGTGAACATTTGATTTTACGACGTTTTGCCCAATGTGGAACTTCGTTAATTACCTAAAAAAAAAAAAGTCAGACAGTGGAGAACACGTCTTTAAATACAACGCTTTATGTCTGTGGCCTTTTTTTCAACATTTATTTGTCCGTGATTCATCCTTTGTCGTCTTCGTCGTCAACCGTATGTCTTAGCCTCTAGACCGTCTCCATTATTCTAACGTGAACATGGAGGTGTGGGTTTCACAATGGTGCTACTTACTCTAGCATGATCCTCACATACGTGATTCACATTTTGGGATGGCTGACTGCTGTTGTTTCATTTTGCAACTTTCAGAACTCGGTTGACTTGATCTTGTTCACATTGAGCTCTAGAAACAGTGTCAGCAGTAACTGGAACCTACTAAGCAGGCTTCTTCAGTCGAGTACAGAGGTGAATCGTATACCAGAGACAGTTGAAGAGACTGAGGTCAGTCTGTCAGCCATGATTGACGCCGATCACTTCCACAGCGTTGCTCACTCTGGTGAACTACGGAGCTGGGAGGGATTGAACCCATGACAAGTCAGTCCTGGAGTTTTGGAACTCACTTGAGATAGGTTCTATCCCCGCCCTTTCCATGATTTGTTTTCAATCGTGTTGTTACGATTTGTTGAGTTATGAATACTGGTCGCAAGGAAATGTAACACAGACGTTTATTTTAGACGATGCTTCCTTCAGGACCGAGCCTCGTCAAGCATTTATCCAGAGCGGAACGTAAAATAAAGGTCTGCATTGCGTATCTCCATATGAAGAGGGTTGGTGCACCGTCTACGAGATCAGTCCCACTTGTGTTCCTCAAACCACTACCCAGGAATGTACTCCCCCCCTTATCCTGAATCATTCAAAACCTGTCTCCTCTTATAATCTCATTGAGACTCTCCGTGTTGTATAATGCATCACATCAAGTTCATGAGCAGCCATTAACTGGAGACAAAACTCACACTCTCCTCCGCTACTTATAGCAGTGGGGATGGAGTATTTTATGTGTGTGTGTGTGTGCCTGCGTGTGTACTCACCTACTTGTGGTTGCAGGGGTTGAGTCGCAGCTCCTGGCCCCGCCTCCTCGTTGGTCGCTACCAGGTCCACTCTCTCCCTACTCTAAGAGCCTGTATGTGTGTGTGTGTGTGTGTGTGTGTGTGTGTGTGTGTGTGTGTGTATGTGTGTGTGTGTGTGTGTGTGTGTGTATGTGTGCATAAATATGTTAATAACGATTACATCTTGGTAAATATACAGACTTTTACGTCGGGTTGAGTAGTGTGTGTGGAGTAGTTAGCGTACACGTTAGGTTGGGTTGAATCTCATTTTCCCTATCGTCCATCTGGCCGTCGGTGTATAAGTGAAATAAGCGATGGGCCGTAGCGAACTATAAGTAATTTAAGCGATCGTATACGCCAAGGTGATAAGGCATTGTTAGAGAGTAGAATTATAGTCGACGGAGCCTTTTCTCTTTTCTCTCTTTAGCAGTTGCGTTCGAAGTGTTTTAAATGGGCGCATTTTGTTTATAAGCAGATACGGTGAAATGCCGTTGTGATTTGCCACATTTGCGTATGTAAATAAATGAAGAATAAATAGGTACAATACAAAAGTAACCCGAATATATGAGAAAGAAATTTTTGACGACGTTTCGGTCAGACCTAGACCATTAATAAAGCTCTATGCATGGCGAAACGTTGCTCCCATAAAAGCTTGGCTCTGTTCCTGTGTCTTTTATTCACGTCAGTAAATGGTGCAAACTAATCCGGCCGCAGAAAATAAGAGTTTACGAGATGACCTCTATATTTTTGGCCTCACTTCTGAGGCCCTCGTCAACTGTTTTTTTTTTTTTTATACATGTGGGTTATTTTGTATCCTTGACCGGTGTTTGTCACACTCTTGTAAATAGATGCTAGCAAAATTAATAAAAAAAAGTATATACTAGTATGTAATTATAGTTTTCGTATTGTTTAAATATTTTCAATGTATTTTCTGAAAGTTTAGTTCTGTAATACGTTTAAATTATTATTGTTATTATTATTATTATTATTATTATTATTATTATTATTATTATTATTATTATTATTATTATTATTATTATTATTCTGTTATATTTATTACTTTAATTATTATTATTATTATTATTATTATTATTATTATTATTATTATTATTATTATTATTATTATTATTATTATTATTATTGTTATTGTTATTATTATTATTATTATTATTATTATTATTATCATCATCATCATCATCATCATCATCATTATTATTATTAAATTCACTGAGAAACTTTAAATCTGTTTGCGTCATACTGCATATGGAGAATGGGTGGTTATCAAGTTTGATTCGAGGAACGGAAAGGCATTTTTCCATTTCTTAGATCAAGAGTTCTTCTCCAGCCTCACTGCATCCCCTTCCCCTTAAAAGGAGGCATTTCCTAGCTGCCAGCAGTATGTGGGGCCCGGCGCTCCCCCCCCCCCACATCTCGTAAAGCTCTCGGCATTTCCTCTCTTGTTGGAGTGTGTTTACCTTGGTGTCGATCGACGCGTCTGTTACCCCTCGGTCGCCGGCCATTTATCTTAGCTCGAAAAGGGGGGGAGGGTAAGGAGGTGCAGTCAACCCCCTGCCTTTTAAATATCTCCGCCAGGGCTCTAGGTGAGGAGCGAGAAAGCTCATTGGCGGGGACAATCAAACGAGTTGTTGTCGGGGTTGATTCCCTTGTTGTTGATGCTCTGCGGGGCTCTGGTTGTGCTGGTTCCTCTTCCTGTCCAGGTTGTGATTCTCTTGGGTCAGGGACGTGTTGTTTCAGCGCAGGAGTGTTTCTTAAAAGCAAGGGTGTATGTTCCTTTAGCTCAGGGGTGTTTCTTCAAAGCAGGGACGTGTTCCCTCAGCTTTTTGGACTTGTTCCTTGGGCATACGGACGGATCCTTCAACGCTGGGACGTATCCTTCAGTGCACGGACGATCCTTCAGGTCACGGACGTGTTCCTTCAACGCAGGAACTTTTTTTTTGTTCTGCCTGTTCACTAAATGCTCAAGCATCTACCCCTCCTTCCGTCCACCCTCGATTCATACACCCTCTTTGTAAACCTATTCTGCTCCATCCCTTCTAAATTACTAACCCATCTCATCAACCTTTCCTCCTCCCTCTGAATAATACCTTTGATACCACCACTCCGTCTTCTAATTTATACGCTCTTTATTCTCTGCATAATATTCACACCACTCATGATATCTCCAATGGCTCCAGCCTAAATACCTGTTTTCACAAATATGTTTAAACCTTACGGGAGAAAATGTTGATGCGGAAAAGGTAAATTTATCGTGGGCGAACTTTGAGCTGTATAAGCATACGCATTTTTTAGCCTTCGCAACGCGGTCATAAGTAATTTTAAGTTTAGCTGTCAATAACCAGCAGGGGTTCAGACAATGAAGTTAGATGTATTATGCGATGGTCAAAGAATTGCAGAGGAATGTGGTGATTCCAGGGACTGGGCTCCAGCATCTGTGTTTCCTAAGCAAGTTTTCGTAATAATGAACTATTTAGAGAGTTACTGATTTTGAATTAATAGTAATAAGTTTACAGTCATGAATTCAGTTACACAAACTTTACAACGTAGTTATTTGTGATTGTGAATTATTTGCAATACTCTGTATATAGCAGGATGTGGTTGAATTTAGGCAAGTTGATAATGAGTTGTTTAAAATGAAAAGACTCAGGGCATTTTCCTAGAAGGGCTGGTAATGTGCCACTGTGGATAGAAAGCAGTTGTAAGCGAGTTTTTCTTTGAATTTATAAATTTGGTCACATTCCAGCATGCAACAACGCAGAGTGTAATGATAGTTTCTCTGTCAAAATTTACGCTTGATTAAGTCAGCATCTGGTACTGATACAAATTTCCCGACGTACCTGTAGTCCAACCGAACCCGGGCGGAAGTGACATTCACGAAAATGCTGATTTGTTGGGATGGGAAGTGTCGCTGTTGCTTTACTTGGTACAGATTGAGTATCTGGTTGGGAGGCCGATTCTGGTTTTCCTGATCCATTTGGAGAAGTGCTCAACCGTGGCGAAGGCTTGGAGGACTTACAGTATGCCTTACAAAACAGTTAGTCAAGGAACTTAACAATATGATAGTTACACGGAGATGCTAGCAGCTCTGTACTACGTCATCTTGGAGACTTAAGAAGCGTGCCTCGACACAGGATGTTTACACCGAGAGGTGTGTGTTTGTCGGTGTATATACACTGAGAATTGTGTTTGTCGGTGTATATGCACTGAAAGGTGTGTTTTTGTCAATGTATATATACCCAGAGGTGCGTATCTCCCGGTGATTATACACTGAGTTTTCTTTAATCTCTGTATTATGGGATTAAAGTATTCCTGACTGGTGGTGCTGTATAGCCCTTGTGGTTTAGCGCTTCTTTTTGATTATAATAATAATAATACTGACTGGTGGTGCACAGGTGATATGCAGCCTTAATGACCCTTGTACAGTCGATTGACTTCAAACCTAATGTCTTATTATCAGTCTTTCTAGGAAATTCATGATGACGTCACTGACTTTTTGTTTACAATGTTGCAGGTCACGTGGATGCAGTCCCGTATAATGACGTCACTGATTGTTTTGTTTACATTGTTGCAGGTCGCGTGAGTGGCAGCCCAGTCCGCCCACACTACCCCACGCCCCTACACGCCGCCTGGTTCCCGGACCACTCCCGCGGCATGGGCGTGTCCCACACGCCCTCCACTTCATGGGTGCCACCCCTCACCTCCCGCCCACCACCCTCAGCGCCTCTACATCACACCCATCTCTTCACATTTCCGCCCACACCACCCAAGGACGCCACCCCGGACACTGTGGGTTTGACGGCGGCCGCCCACGACTACAGCAATGTGGCTACGTCCACGGGCGTCCACCACGTCCACCAGCCCAGCTTGGAGATGTCTATGGCGGAACTGAAGTCTCCGCCCGCCCTCCTCTCCGTCATGGGCGGCTCCAAACGTGAAGGTAGCGACGAATACGCCCTCCCCGAACCCCTCCATATCCACTCCCAGCACCCCTCCCTCCTCCACGCCCACAACCCCCTACCGCCGTCCACTGACGTCCTACACCCTGACTCCTACGCTGCCTACGATGCCTACCTTCCTGCGCATGAGGATGCCTACTACCCTACCCCCCCGGACCCCCCACCTCCTGGACGTGCCCAATCCAACTCCGCCTCCAAGAGCAAAGCCAAAGCCAAGGCCAGTGCCGGTAAGAGAGCTATCGAACGTGGCACTGCGGTGACTTCCTCCTCCTCTTCCTTCACCTCTTCCTTATCTTCCCCACCGCTTTGCTCAATGTTATTGCTAAGTGCTAACCTCCAGCAGAGTTCTTCACTAGCACAAACGCACCGCTGCACAGAGTCTTGTTAGCCTGCAACATAAACTGTTACTTGCAAGAAGACAAATCACTGTCGACAACTTGTGGGATGTCATTGGAAATGTGTTGGAAGCGTTTTCACTGAAAACGTCCTAAACCATATGGGCAACATACACGTATCTTTACTGGCGAAACGTTTCGTCTTCACAGCAGGCGTCAGTACAATACCTGAGACAACAGTAGAAGGTGAGAGGTTACTGAAGGTAATCAATACCTCAGCCTTGAAGACCTTCAGTCTTTCCTAACCTAAAACGTTTCGTCGATGAAGATCCCAAAACGTTGCACATGTGTCTCTCGTCACCTCGCCCATACGGTATACGATTAAATATGGAAGATGTCCTGAGTGAAAGCATTCATACATGTATGTTTCTTTCTCACTGGTGCTGCTTATTTGTGTATTGTTCCAGTCATGGTATTGTGACTTTTGTTCCAGTCATGGTACTGTGACTTTTGTTCCAGTCATGGTATTGTGACTTTTGTTCCAGTCATGGTATTGTGACTTTTGTTCCAGTCATGGTACTGGGACTTTTGTTCCAGTCATGGTACTGTGACTTTTGTTCCAGTCATGGTATTGTGACTTTTGTTCCAGTCATGGTACTGTGACTTTTGTTCCAGTCATGGTATTGTGACTTTTGTTCCAGTCATGGTATTGTGACTTGTTATATTTTTATTCATGTCCATTACCCACAAGCTACAACATCATACCCCTTCTTCGTACCGCTGCTACCAGCACCGCTGCTACCAGCACCGCTGCTACCAGCACCGCTGCTACCAACACCGCTGCTACCAGCACCGCTGCTACCAGCACCGCTGCTACCGGCACCGCTGCTACCAGCACCGCTGCTACCAGCACCGCTGCTACCGGCACCGCTGTTACTGGTACCGCTGCTACCAGCACCGCTGCTACCGGCACTGCTGCTACCAGCACCGCTGCTACCAGCACCGCTGTTACTGGTACCGCTTCTACCAGCACCGCTGCTACTGGTACCGCTGCTACCAGCACCGCTGCTACCAGCACCGCTGTTACTGGTACCGCTGCTACCAGCACCGCTGCTACTGGTACCGCTGCTACCAGCACCGCTGCTACCGGTACCTCTGCTACCGGCACCGCTGCTACCGGCACCGCTGCTACAGGCACTGCTGCTACCAGCACCGCTGCTACTGGTACCGCTGCTACCGGCACTGCTGCTACTGGTACCGCTGCTACCGGCACCGCTGCTACTGGTACTGCTGCTACCGGCACCGCTGCTACCGGCACCGCTGCTACCGGCACCGCTGCTACCGGCACCGTTGCTACCAGCACCGCTGTTACTGGTACCGCTGCTATCGGCACCGCTGCTACTGGTACCGCTGCCACCAGCACGGCTGCTACTGGTACCGCTGCTATCGGCACTACTGCTACTGGTGCCGCTGCTACCAGCACTGCTGCTACTGGTACCGCTGCTACCGGCACCGCTGGTACTGGTACCACTGCTACCTGCACCGCTGCTACTGGTACCGCTGCTACCGGCACAGCTGCTACTGGTACCGCTGCTACCGGCACCGCTGCTACCGGCACCGCTGCTACCGGCACCGCTGCTACCAGCACCGCTGCTACCAGCACCGCTGTTACTGGTACGGCTGCTACCAGCACCGCTGTTACTGGTACCTCTGCTACCAGCACCGCTGCTACCAGCACCGCTGTTACTGGTACCGCTGCTACCAGCACCGCTGCTACCGGCACTGCTGCTACCAGCACCGCTGCTACCAGCACCGCTGTTACTGGTACCGCTTCTACCAGCACCGCTGCTACCAGCAACGCTATTACTGGTACCGCTGCTACCAGAACCACTGCTACTGGCACCGCTGATACAAGCACCGCTGCTACCAGTACCGCTGTTACTGGTACCGCTGCTACCAGCACCGCTGCTACCAGCACCGCTGTTACTGGTACCGCTGCTACCAGCACCGCTGCTACCCGCACCACTCTCACTGGTACCGTTGCTACCAGCACCGCTGCTACCGGCACCGCTGCTACCAGCACTGCTGTTACTGGTACCACTGCTACCAGCACCGCTGCTACCAACACCGCTGTTACTGGTACCGCTGCTACCAGCACCGCTGCTACCAGCACCGCTGTTACTGGTACCGCTGCTACCAGCACCGCTGTTACTGGTACCACTGCTACCAGCACCGCTGCTACCAGCACCTCTGTTACTGGTACCGCTGCTACCGGCACCGCTGCTACCAGCACCGCTGTTGCTGGTACCGCTGCTACCAGCACCGCTGCTACCAGCACCGCTGTTACTGGTACTGCAGCTACCAGCACCGCTGTTAATGCTACCGCTGCTACTGGTACCGCTGCTACCAGCACCGCTGTTACTGGTACCGCTGCTACCAGCACCGCTGCTACCAGCACCGCTGTTACTGGTACTGCAGCTACCAGCACCGCTGTTACTGGTACCGCTGCTACCAGCACTGCTGCTACCAGCACCGCTGTTACTGGTACCGCTGCTACCGGCACCGCTGCTACCAGCACAGCTGTTACTGGTACCGCTGCTACCAGCACCGCTGCTACCAGCACCGCTGCTACCAGCACCGCTGTTACTGGTACCACTGCTACCAGCACCGCTGCTACCAGCACCGCTGTTACTGGTACTGCTGCTACCGACACAGCTGCTACCAGCACCGCTGTTGCTGGTACCACTGGTACCAGCACCGCTGCTACCAGCACCGCTGTTACTGGTACCGCTGCTACCAGCACTGCTGTTAATGGTACCGCTGCTACTGGTACCGCTGCTACCAGCACCGCTGTTACTGGTACCGCTGCTACCAGCACCGCTTGTACAAGCACCGCTGTTACTGGTACCGCTGCTACCAGCACCGCTGCTACCAGCACCACTGTTACTGGTACCACTGCTACTGGTACCGCTGCTACTGGTACCGCTGCTACTGGTACCGCTGCTACTGGTACCGCTGCTACCGGCACCGCTGCTACTGGTACCGCTGCTACCGGCACCGCTGCTACCGGCACCGCTGCTACCGGCACCGCTGCTACTGGTACCGCTGCTACCAGCACTGCTGCTACCAGCACCGCTGTTACTGGTACCGCTGCTACTGGTACCGCTGCTACTGGTACCGCTGCTACTGGTACCGCTGCTACCGGCACCGCTGCTACTGGTACCGCTGCTACTGGTACCGCTGCTACTGGTACCGCTGCTACCGGCACCGCTGCTACCGGCACCGCTGCTACCGGCACCGCTGCTACCGGCACCGCTGCTACTGGTACCGCTGCTACTGGTACCGCTGCTACCGGCACCGCTGCTACCGGCACCGCTGCTACCGGCACCGCTGCTACCTTCACCGCTGCTACCGGCACCGCTGCTACTGGTACCGCTGCTACTGGTACCGCTGCTACTGGTACCGCTGCTACTGGTACCGCTGCTACCGGCACCGCTGCTACCGGCACCGCTGCTACCGGCACCGCTGCTACCAGCTCCGCTGCTACCGGCACCGCTGCCACCGGCACCTCTACTACCAGCACCGCTGCTACCGGCACCGCTGCTACCAGCACCGCTGCTACCAGCACCGCTGCTACCAGCACCGCTGCTACCGGCACCGCTGCTACCAGCACCGCTGCTACCGGCACCGCTGCTACCAGCACCGCTGCTACCAACACCGCTGTTAACGGTACCGCTACTACATGGTACCGCTGCTACCAGCACTGCTGTTAATGGTACCGCTGCTACCAGCACCGCTGCTACCAGCACCGCTGCTACCGGCACCGCTGCTACCGGCACCGCTGCTACCAGCACCGCTGCTACCGGCACCGCTGCTACCAGCACCGTTGCTACCGGCACTGCTGCTACCAGCACCGCTGCTACCAGCACCGCTGTTACTGGTACCGCTTCTACCAGCACCGCTGCTACCAGCAACGCTATTACTGGTACCGTTGCTACCAGAACAACTGCTACCGACACCGCTGATACAAGCACCGCTGCTACCAGTACCGCTGTTACTGGTACCGCTGCTACCAGCACCGCTGCTACAAGCACCGCTGTTACTGGTACCGCTGCTACCAGCACCGCTCCTACCCGCACCGCTGTTACTGGTACCGCTGCTACCAGCACCGCTTCTACCGGCACTGCTGCTACCAGCACCGCTGTTACTGGTACCGCTGCTACCAGCACCGCTTCTACCGGCACTGCTGCTACCAGCACCGCTGTTACTGGTACCGCTGCTACCAGCACCGCTGCTACCAACACTGCTGTTACTGGTACCGCTGCTACCGGCACCGCTGCTACCAGCACCGCTGTTACTGGTACCGCTGCTAACAGCACCGCTGTTACTGGTACCACTGCTACCAGCACCGCTGCTACCAGCACCGCTGTTACTGTACCGCTGCTACCGACACCGCTGCTACCAGCACCGCTGTTGCTGGTACCGCTGCTACCAGCACCGCTGCTACCAGCACCGCTGTTACTGGTACCGCTGCTACCAGCACCGCTGCTACCAGCACCGCTGTTACTGGTACCGCTGCTACCAGCACCGCTGCTACCAGCACCGCTGTTACTGGTACCGCTGCTACCAGCACCGCTGCTACCAGCACCGCTGCTACCAGCACCGCTGCTACCAGCACCGCTGTTACTGGTACCACTGCTACCAGCACCGCTGCTACCAGCACCGCTGTTACTGGTACCACTGCTACCGACACCGCTGCTACCAGCACCGCTGTTGCTGGTACCGTGCTACCAGCACGCTGCTACCAGCACCGCTGTTACTGGTACCGCTGGCTACCAGCCCGCTTGTACAAGCACCGCTGTTACTGGTACCGCTGCTACCAGCACCGCTGC